AGGTTCGCCCACATTTGTAATTTCTGTGTTTTACAGGCAGTGATTAGGCCCTGTTTTTGTAACAGGACCTGCTGTGTTAGTAGGATGGGATATATTTTGGTGTGCTGTGAATGCTGGGGTGTGAATATTGGTTCCTGGGCATCTTAGAAAGTCTGTTTTGAAACACATTTTTCAGGGAATTTTCATTGCCCTTACCAAAGGTTTCTCTTACAGCTTTGCACTAGAAAACCTGGTTAAAATAGTAACTATCTTCTCTAGAGCATAACACAGGATTGTTCCAGGCTTTGCCAAGCTAAGGGAGTGTCAGTGATCCTGCTTTAATTCAGCCTTTGGGAGGGCTGGGGAATAGTTGAGACTGTTCTTAGGGTGGTCTCTGCAGCTGAAAGCAGAGCTGTGTAAAGAAATGCTGTAGAAGATGCCCTTCATGTGTAATCTGCTGGAATAACTGGATTTTTTTGTTTCTTTATCCCCCTCTGTGATTGAGGGGATCGACCTGCATTGCTGAGGTTAGGTTGCCTTCCTCCCCAAAGGACTCACTGCTGATGTGTGTCAGGGCACCTTCAAGGGCTGCCCTTCAACCCACTGCACTTAAAAGAATCTGAGCTGGGAGTTGGCTTCGTGGCCTCTGTAAAATGGTTTTATCTTTCCTGTGCCTTATCAGATGAGATGCTGCTGCTCCTGCTGCAGCGGTGAGCCGGTGAGGAGGATGCAGAGCGAGTGAGCAGGAGGATTAGTTCTGCTTGAAGGCTCTGACACAGATCCACATCTCAGAGGGGGGACAGCGAGCATGTGGACTGACCATCAGAACCAGGAAGGCTTACCCTTCCCCTTTGTGTAGAAGAGGAGGAGGAAATCTGAATAAGAAGCTCTATATGTGTGCTTATCTCTCTACTGTCTCATTTAGCCTGAGGTTTTCCAACATCTGCTCCCGTGCACGAAACATCAGACTGAGACACACCGCTCTACTGAAACATTTGACATTAGAAAGCTATTTTTTGTTGTCATTGCCCTCCCAGTAAGGCTGTGGCCTTTTTATGGCACACTGTCTTACATGTGACAACTGCCATAAAGTAAGGGTGAAACATCTGCTTTCCTAAATGCTTCAGCAAGAGTGTCTCAGCGGGTGGTGCGTTGGAAGCTTGATACCCAGTTGGGCACAACTCAGCCCTCAGTCTGTAAATAGAAGTTTTAATCTCTGTTCTAGTGTTTCATTAGCTGGGTTTTCATGTGGGAGAGAGGGAGCCCAAGATAGCATGGGTCATATACGTGGCCTTTTTCTGGAAGTGTTTGCTTTAGCCAGCTTGGGTTCATAGGGAGCTTTGTGGCTTTCTAGAACAGCGCTGCTCTGTCCACGGCACTAAAATCACATTTGGTAAACAGCTCCTCTTTAAAATCTGTTCCTTGTGTGTTCTTCTACCTGTCTCCAGAGCTGTGTGTGAGATCTGAACCCAAAGAGGCCTTGGAGGCTTCACCAAGCTCACTGCTGCTTCTCTAAAAGTAGGTAAAGTGGTGGGTTTCTGCTGTGCATCGTTCCCATTTCTTGGATTCATACAATGCTGTGGTGTAACATCTCCCAGCTGCTCTTTTTCTGTTAAATCTTCTTTCAAGGAGTAGGATGGTGCATAAAGGATGCAAAATACTGTTCTTCTGGCTGGTCACAGAGCTGGAGGTAGATGAGCAGCTCCAGGGTTGGGAGACCCAGAAAGCTCCTTCTGAAACTCCACTTTCCACAAAAGCTGCCGCAGGATTGCATCAGTTTATTCTGAGGAGGTATATTTAGGTCTTGAAGAGTAATTACACAGCTTTGAATAAGTCTCAAGTCAGAAGAGGGCAAAGCTTAGCTTGTCAGGGATTCAGCCTTCTGGGAGTCTCTTTCAAAATGGTCCAGGCAGCTTTTTTTAAAATAAAACTTCTGAAGACGACCCACTGAATTGGCACCTGGTACCAGGCATTGGTCTGAACTATTTCTAGCTCTCCAAATATGGAGTAAAACTTAAAATTAGACACTTCTGGTTTTAAGCTGTGAGTTTCTGCTTTACTTTTAGTTGCCTTGTGATTAGGATGGAAGGAAACGCCTCTCGGTGCAGCCCTCACCACGCTTCTTGTGTGTTTTTTGTTTCTGTATGATGGTTCCTAATTGTACATCAGAGAATATTCTAAGGGCTAAGTACAAAACTGCTCATCATCTGAGTTCTGCTTTTTTTTTTTTTGTCCCTATTTTAGTGTTCTCTAATTACCAGCCTGACGATAGCTTGGTGGGAGGTGGATAGGCAAAGCCCATTGCTTCCCCACATGCCATCTTTCGGAAGTGTGGAATTAATTTTTAAGGGTTTGGTTTGAAACAATAGAGCTGTCCCTTGCTTGTCTAATGATACAGATCCAGCCCCCACCCTTAAGAGCCACTCTTTAAAATAATTTAAAAAAAAAAAAAAAAGAATAAAAAAAGAGGTTGAAATTCATTGCTGAATGATTGTGAAACTTGTGACTGGAAAGCAGCTCGGCATTTTATCTTCTAAACTCCTTCTCACCCTGTGCAGACTATTCCAAAGACATAAAAATCTACGCTGCACCTGCAGCTTGGGTTCATGTTCACTGTTCTGTGGGTAACATAACCCCCCCCAAATCCTTTTCCTAATCCCTTGCGCTGTGTGGTATCTACAGCAGTTTTGGGAAGCCAACATGCATCCCTAATAAGAAGCAGAATGTCTGTTAGCAGAGCTTTTCCTGAAGGCAAATTAGCTATGAAGCTCTTTATTACTAATCAGTACTTTTTTACCACATTTTGAAGTAATTAGCCTTCATTGGACTTAGCAGCATCCAGCAGATGCTTAATGGCTGCACTGTAAAAAGAATGAGAACTCCTGAGTAAGGAAACTCATGCTGGAGCAGCCCTTGATGATCCCACTCACAGAGCAGCTTCAGGATCTGGGAGCTGGAGCTTAGTCCCGTAAATGCTCACTTTTACAGGAGTTAGAGCTCTGAGCAGGGCTGAGAACAAGGTGTGTGAACTGGTGAACAGTGTGCTGTTCTACCTGTCTCATTGAACATCGTTCACTTGTAGCTGCCTTCCAGCATTCAGCGTGAAACCTTGCTCTCTGGAAAACAGCAATTCCTTTCTAAAGACACCTAATGCTGCTAAAATATTCAGTGATTTCTACATCCCCTCTACCTGCCTTGCATTGCTGAAGCACATGTGTCCTCAAGTGGTTTTCCATTCTGTTGAATTCCTTTTTTTTGGTCTGTACCTGAGTTTTCCTTCCTTTAGGTCATTGGAGATACCTGCTACTGAGTCAGGTTTAAGGCACCCACATCTGATAATTGCCTAATTTGGCTGGCTCGGTGAATATTTTATTATAGGCAAAACCTTTTTATTCCCTCTGGAATTATTTCTTCTCCTGTCTGAAAGAGCTGGAGTGAGTTGAGTGGAGCAATGAGAACCAGATCTCATCTTGAATTAATCCCAGATTCAGAGGTATTTTTGGCACTTAGATGTCTCACTTTTCACTATCTTCAGTAACAAGCCTGAGTTCTGTCTGGAAGGGGTTTAAGTTCTCTACCTTGAAAGAATTGCTGCCTTCTGTTTTCTCTTGTTTCAAACAGGGATGATCAGCCTTTATCTGCATTACAGAGGATTACAGGTTTCAGTTATTTGTCAGTGGCTCCTTTTCTGTTCTCTGTGTCTTGGCCAGCGGATTCAGTCCCACAGTGTCTCAAAGGACCATCAGGGACCTTCTGGCTCAGGATCCAGTCCCTGGCTTTGTCCTGTTGGGCTCAGCTCGAGGTTGCAGAAGGGCTGCTTGGGCTGGAGCTTCTGCCCCTTCCTTCCCAGGAGGAGAGCTGAGGCTCTGCCAAGGCTGATTGTTCTCCCCTTTGCCACCAATCCCTTTGGCCTGCGCCGTGCCCGGGTCAGCTGGTGGGAAGCCTCCCTTTCCCTGCTAAAGCAAACAGTTTATCAGGTGCCCTTGCCCCTTAGTCCTGTGCTAGGAGGAGAGATAAGAGCGAGATGCAAACTTGCTTGCTCGCAGCTGTCAGCAGTGCCTTCCCTTCCTCCCCCCTGGCCTCATTACTCTGAGAACTGACCTGGCTGAGGGCCAAGCTCCGAACCGTAAATGGATCAGGTCCTGCAGAGGCTCAGTGGGCAAACCAGAGCTCTGTGGGAGGACCCACATGCCTTGTTTGCAGGCTCCTTTTGAAAGGTGAAATCCAGCTTCCCCTGAGGGCTCTGCAGCAGCCAGAGCTGTACCTGAAGCGATTCCTGTGCTCGGGAAGGCATCTTCTCTTCCTCCTGCGGGCTCAGGCAGGAGCCATGTGCTTCTCCACTCGCCCTGGAGATTAGGATAGGCTGCTCAGAAGCTGTGCAAGCAAAACCACCTTCCTCTCTGGCAGAAACTGCTTTACATCTGAACCCCCCACATGATTTGAAGCGCAATGTTTGCTTGGCATGGCCCTGTCTGCCTGAACCCAGGAGCATTTCCACACGTGTTTTTGTCTTCCTTCAAGCTGGCTGTCCTCACTGGCTTCCTCCCAGCACGAGAAGCAGGGAAGGACAAGCCATCCAGGACACACAGCACGTTCACTGTGCAGAGGCTGTACAAACAGACATGCTGGAGGGAGATAAGCTTGTGAACCTTCAGCCCAGTTGGGTTACAGAGATTGGCTCCATCCAGGCCGGACGGTGAATGAGCTAAACCGGCTAAGCAGGAAATGTCAGAGAGCTTGTGAGAGTTTTAAAGGCAAATTCTGCTGATGAGGTGATTAGTCTGCCTGTAACCTAGGTGGATTTTACCTGTATTGACTAGTGAAAAGCTTAATGGTAACGTAACACCCTTGTGTAACACCGTTTTGGGTGGTGTGGACCAAGCTGTGTTGTGCAGGATCTTTACAGGCCAGGATATGCCAGTCATTAAAAAAAGATACTTAATAGTCAAGATTGATTTGGCTATGTACTTTTATTTGAATAATGGTTTTGTTGTTGTTTGGGGTTTTTTTCGTTCCCACAGAGAGGAAGTTCAGGAAAACTGTGTCCGCTGGAAAAAGAAATTCACCTTTGTGTGCAAAATGAGTGCCAACCCCGCCACAGGACTCCTGGACCCCTGCATCTGCCGAGTATCTGTCCGTAAGGTGAGCATCCAGCTTCTGCTCCTGGCAGGTAGTACCACCAGTGCACTGGTCTTGGTTACTGGGTGCTTTTTGTCAGCAAGAAAAATTGCAGGGACTGTGGTGGGAAGGAAGAATTGTTTGGGCCAGGATGTGCTGGAATGGAGCCTCTCTGTCCAGCAAGGGTACTTGATGGAGGGTGGGAGCAACCGGGGTCGTGGTAGCTCTTGAGAGGGAGAGATTTGTGAATCCTGAGAGCAGACTGAGTAATGTCTTTCCCCCTGTTTCTCCAGCACATATAATAGCAGCTTTTCCTGTTTGTTTTGTCTCCCATTATAGGAGCTGAAGGGCGGAAAAACCTACTCAAAGGTAAGAGCACAGAAAGGGCAAATGTGGCAGAGTGGTGATGGCCTTGTCTCCTGTTGGTGCTTGACACCCATTAGAAACCAGTGGCTGCTGAGTGAAGCAATCTGGAGAGATGCACGTTAGTTCTGAGTTTAAGCCTGAGTTAAGAGAGTTCCCAAAAAAATCCCTTGCTGGGACAGGATCCAGATTGCACTGGATGTGGATTTGAGGCGGGGGTTGGGAAGATGATCTGCATGTCCTCAAGCTTTGGGGAAGTTCTGAGTCAGATGTGAACTCTCTGGCTTCTGGCAGCGTCTCCCTAATAAAGAAACACAGACTCCAGTTCTGTTCTCCAGAACACAGCAGCCAGCTGGGGCTGGGGCAGGCACCTCACTGCCTTGTGAGTGCAGGCAGAAAGCTACAGCAGGAATCACTGCCTGCCAAAGCATAGGAGACACTGGGGCAAAAACCAAATGGATCGGCAGGACTCTTAGTTTTGGTTTGTTTCCTCCTCATTTTCTTGCCTCTGCTATGGAACAGACAATGGGCCACCCCCTTCTACGCCTTGTGCTGATCAAGAGACAATGCTGGCTTAGAAGCTGAGCTCACACAGTGCCCAAAATCATGTTTGTTTGAAAATGAGTCACTGCTGCTGGTTTCTAATAAACAGATGCTCAGGTCACGCACAGCCCTTTAAGAATTTCTTCTCATCAATATCCTTTCTGAGACCATGGAGGCAACTGGTTGTGAAGGGTGCACTGCCCTCCTGTGAACTGCTGTGCTGTGTGAGACAGGGCAGTGTGGCTGCCCACACCATTTTTTTTAATTGCTAATTAGGGCATGATCTCTAGGGCCATCAGTTTCTCTTTCACTAAATTCACGCTGTGGGGAGATAATTCATTCTGCAGAGCTGCCTGTCCAGGGAGAGCAGCAGAGCTGGAGGAAGAGACATGCCTCTGAGACATAGTAAATCCATCAGCCTGTGCCTCCCACAGTGTCCATCCTCAAGGCTTCCACAGTGTTTGAAAATGCAGAATTAAAGGAAGCCTGAAGGCATGTTTTCATGGTGGAGTTAACCTGGGCTCTTATTCAGGCCGTGTTCTAACCTACTTCCTTTTTACTCAGTTGTGTTTAATTGCATTTAAAAGAGACCTCCTTGCTCCAACCCAGAACTGGAGACCAAATCTCACGTGCTTTTCGTCTCTTGGGCTGGTGTCTCACTTGGTCTTCTGTGAAGAAAACTGATGTGTTCTCCTAAAAGATGATCTGAGCATTTCAGCAGCTCAGACACAAGGGATGTCACACCAGGCAGTTTGTCTGTGCACAGACAAACTATTTTTCCAACTATTTTCCCATTTTAAACCAAAATAAGTCCACACCTTTTGGAACTATCCAAAATAAGTCCACACCTTCTGGAACTATCTTAATTCAACTGAAAACTCCTCGAATCATGGCAGCAGATGTAGAGGATAATGCAACTTGTGAATGCTCTCTGTAGAGGCTGAGAGTGATGGAGCTGTTTGTGCTCCAGGCAGAGTTTCCACTGACTTGCACACCTTTGGGTTTGACGTGAATGTCACCTCGGTGTCAGGGGTTATGGGGCGGAAGACGACAGGAAGGACTGATAAAGCGGAAACTCTTTCCTCTGAGCTGGAAGAAACACCATCAGCTGGCTGGAAAACTGAGGAAACTATTCTGAAAGGTTATATCTGAAAACATCCTCTTGTTAAGGGATCTTTCCTCTATATACTGGGAGTCTGCTTCCTGAAAAAGCTTCTGACCTCAGCACACCGTGTGGGTCACTGGAGGGTTCTCCCACACTCTGATGTCGATCTTCTTAAAGAAGTTAGTGCTGTGGTGGCAGAAAAAGGAACTGGGTCTGGGCCACTCCAGTGCCACGTTGTTCTCCTAGTGTGGTTGTGCTGTGTCTTTGTCACAGTGATGGATTGCAGCTCCTTCTGTGGCTTTTTCCTGTCTTGTTTATCTCCAAGAGATAAAAATTCGCTGTTTTTCCCTTATCGGTGAATAATTAGAAAGCAGCGTAGCCCTTGGCTAGAAGAGATAGAGGAATTTCTAGAGCAAGGGCTGAAGAAACACCTGCATTAAGGGAATTGTTAAGAAGGGAGAAGAGAGGGAGAAAAGTTGGGTTATGTTTTTCCTTCTTTTTTTTTTTGTTAATGAAAGGTTCCCTCTCTATCCCACATCTTTTTTTCATTTGCCATCAGGAGTTCCCCTTTGAGAATGGGATGGAGGAAGCAGCTATGCTAGTGTTGGTGCTGTTTCCCCCCTGAATCATGTATCTTGAGCAGACTGTGGTTTAGGCTTTTGATTTGGAGCAGTGGGAGCCAGGGTTCCTGTGGCAGTGGCTGTGGTTTGTGCTCTGACTCCCTATCAGCTTCCACAGTTGACAGAGCACCACATTTCCGTAGGATGGTGCTACTGTTGGGGCTCCCCGTCCAGTTGTGTCATCCAGCTGTCAACACCAGGGCAGGAGGAATGTTCTGCAGTGCATGGCATGACCTGCTGCTGCTGCTCCACCTGTGCTCTGTGTTCTGGGAGCTGACCTGGATGCTGAAGTGACGCAAACTCTCCGTGCTCGGGTGGTTTGGCCAAATGTGGGGTACAGCATCTCTTCCTGGTCAGATTAGATGAGGCACAACTGACTTGTATTCCTAAAGCTCTGCATAAAAGAAGCTATAACTTTTTCTCTGAGACACTGTGTTACTAGGGCAGGAAAACAAAGATACTCTTCATTGTGTTTGTGTTTACTCTGGAGGCATCAGTGTCCTCTTTGAATTTGCCTGTGGTCTTCAGCTTTCTGTCACCTTCCCTATTTGCTTCCCCTTTGTTAGAGGAGGTTTAGAGAGCTCACAAGTAAATCTCTCCAAATATTTCTCTTCCCTTCTGCCTGTCAAACATCCCCCTTGCTGGTTAAGCCTTAGCAGCATTGAGGAAACTTTGCTCCAGGAGTTCCTCAGCCCAGCAGCTGCCTCTGAGGGGTGAGGCACATGCACTGCTCCATGGCTCCGGGCTTCCAGCTCCCTGTGCCGAAATCTCAGTTGTTTTTTTTCAGGATGGTGTCACTTTCCCCTGTAACAATATCCTTTCATCTCCTGGTTCACATGCTCCACTGCATTCTGGGATGGCCTGATACAAAGAGTGCCTTATTATGTTTGTGTATGTGTGATTCTGTTTTTTCCACATCGTTGACCTAGTGCCTTCCATGTCCTTGGTTATGCAACGGCCGTGGGCTGGTTAACACTGTCCTGGCCAGCACCACCACTGTCTGCCCTTCCTCCACAGAGGTTTGGCTTCCTGAAGGCCTCCCAATGTCCGTCTGACTTGGGATTAGGAATGTGACCCTGCCCATCCTCAAGAACAGAGGATCTTCACAGCCACCAGTCCCGTTTCTGCCCTTGCTCACAGATGCTCTCTCTTTTTTTGGTCTGTATGACACCATCTATCCCTTTATGGAGTAACCTTTGTTCTCTCCCATTCCCCTCCATTGTTTTCGTGGCTGCAGCTGGGCTTTGCTGATCTAAATCTGGCAGAATTTGCGGGCTCTGGATCCACTGTCCGTTGCTGCTTGCTGGAAGGATATGATACCAAGAACACCCGACAGGACAACTCCATCCTAAAGGTACAGCAGCTGCTACTGCCACAGCTGAAATGCTGTGACTGAATTTGGGGAAGATCACAACCAGAGTGCAGTGCCAGACCCGAGAGAAGGCCCTGTTAGTGTGCAGGGACAGGATTTTGCTTTTGTGCTGCTGGACTGACTTGGGAAGCTTCCCATTATCAAAGTTGCCCTTTGATAATTTGGCATCGATTTGGCCAAGCGATGACCCTTAACGGTGTTCTCTGTCATCAAAGAAACCAGGAACAGGAGGGAGGGAGGAGGTTCTGAGTGCATTGTCAGGGTGGCCAGACTGGTGTCCTGCTGAGCCGCTTGAAATGCCTGATGCCAGGGATTTGGGGCAGGGAGGGAAATACCTTGCCAAATCCCTGAAGCTGATTTCGTTTGGAAAGGAGCTGGATCTTGCTAATCTTTACACCCAGCCCTTGACCCCGTGGCTGTTGTGTGAAGTGAGGAACATTGCTAACGATGTTCCTTGTGTCCCCTCTCCAGGTCACCATCGGAATGTCCCTGCTCTCGGGGGACCCCTGCTTCAAAACGTGAGTTTCTGGGCAGACCGGGACACCTGTTCCTTTTGCAGTTCTCTGCTGGAGACTAAAACTGATAGAGAGGAGGAAAAATAATGCCCTTGATATTGGGAAGTACAGGGAAAAGCTTAAAACTGTTTGAATCAGCCAGAAAAGTGTATCCAGCCTGTGCTGTTGATTGGTTTTGTTCTCTGCTCTGGCTTTCCCAGTTTGATTATTGCTGTGCACAGCGTCTTCCCTGCCTAGCGTGAGTTTAGGTTTTGGAAACCAGTAGATGCTGCTGACAAACTTCATGTTTTGCTGAAGGGTAGAATTTCTCATGGCTGTGGGTTTGGTTTCACTGACCTCCAAGAGGAGAAAGGTCACTGAAGAAAACAGTCTTGGAAATGGACATGCTTCAGCAGATATCGTGTGGGATAAAGATCTCAGATTGAAACAGCAACAAAGATACTGCAAGGCTAAAACATTTTAAATTTTTTTGTTTTCTAAACGGTTCACAATTTGCGTTAGCAGAGAAATTGCAGTCATGTGTTTTTTTTTTTTTAATGCATTAAGGTAGGAAAGAATAAATACAGTTAAGCTGTGAAGCAGTTTTGCTGCTTAAAGAATTGTTGGTGAATCAACTAACAAATATCCTGGCAGCATCTCCTCTTACACTGCAGTGTGGTGTCACAGGGCTCTGCAGTCCAAGCCCTGCTGTGGTGTGCTGGAAGGTGTGTGACTGCACACAGCAGGGCTGCCACGTGCCCACAGAAATATTTGGTGTTGACTCCCAGCAGTACAAGAGAAGAAAGCTTTACCTTCAGGCCATCTCTCGCAGCAGTGGTCTCCTGGGCTAAAAAGTCTAATTTTAGGAGCTAGCTTGAAGTGTTTATAAATTAGCTCGCATTTGTGTTATAAAATGCTGCATAATTTTTGGGAGGTTTGTTTTGTGAATGGCTCTTCGTGGTGCTGCAGTGTTTCCTGAGACTTTCAAGCCCAAAATCAATGTTATCTGAATCCAAAGAATTTCTACTTCAGAAGGAAGTGTAACAAAGAAGTTTTGGATACCTTAAACCATATTTGTAGCAGTAACAGATGTTTTAAATCTGGGGTACTAGGATGTCTGGAAATAATATATCTGACAAAAATACCTGTTGTTCCTTTGCTATGGAAGCAAGTCCTACTGTTAGAGTGCCTGAAAATTATACAGAATTGGATATAAATATCCATTTAATGTAAGGAGGTTATCTGAAAGCCAAACCTCCTAATTTTCTTAAGGGATTTTTTGCAGTCATTCCCACTTTTTCCTTATATGTTGATGATGTGCAAATGCCTAAAAATGGAAGCTTTGCATGTGGAATAGTCCTTGATCAGCAGAGCTTCTGGTAAATGGCACTCATTAAGGGGATAGGCAGGAATTAAACTATGCTGGGAAATGACTTCCAAGCACTGACTTTCTGCAGGGCTTGGATGAACCTTCTCCTCCTGGGGGTCACTGAGTGGGGCAGAGCAGGCTGAGCAGGAACACTTTGCTTACTTAAGGCTGTAAAAGCCTTACAAATCTGTGAAGCAAAGTCCCCAAAGCACCTGTGTGCATGTAAATCACTGATAACGTGATTAGGGAGGTTTTTTTCCTGGTGAAGGCATGCTGTGAGTTTCCTGGAACCTTCACAGCTGTTTGCCTGCCCACATAAAATATTCTTGGTGCTTTATTCTCTCTCCCAAAATACAGCAAAGGTAGCATCTTTCTTCAGAGCTTCAAGTGAGACAAATAAAAGTTTTTATTTCTCACTCCTCACTTAAAAACCATAATATGATCCATTAATTCCAGTTCAGACTTCAGGCTACAGGGAGGTTATGGCTCCAACAGGAATATTCACTTTGCCACGCTGCACATGCTGTGGCTTCCACCCAAAAACACTTCTGGAGGAAGGGAGGGGGCTCCAGGCACTCACAGCTCTGCCCTGCAGCCAGCATTTACAAAGGGATGTTGGGAGCACACAGAATAACCAGAAAAATAATTTTGACAGCTGGAAAACCACTTTAGTCTCACTGAAAAGTGGTTTAATCGTCAGTTATAAAAGGGGAAGGTTATTTGATCATTGTAAAAGCGCTCTCATAGCGGGGTGGGGTTGCTGGGATAAAAGGTTTCATTTTGGCCCCCGGGTCAGAAAGGTGTAACAGAAAGGGAGGTGGAATTGAGAGTGATACAACAGCAAACTGGTTCCTGTTTGTGAAGCCAACTGGACACGTGTTGGGGGGGAAAGGGCAGCTCTGGTTGGTGTTCTGGAGCATAGTGCAAGCTCTGAGCCTGTTGTCCTGCATAAATGATTGAATGGTTCCTCTTTGCCTTAATTTACCTCAGAAACTTGCTTTTTCTTCTGATTACAGGCCTCCTTCCACCGCCAAATCCATCACCATACCAGGGCAGGACTCTACCCTGCAGCTGACCTGCAAGGGAGAGGGAACCACAAGCAGCAGCAGTTCCTCCACAATCGGCTCTCTGCGCCAGACCAAGCCAAGAACTGCCATTCTCAGCTCGGGTATGAATGCCCATCCTGGAGCCATGCAACATTTGGCTCTGTCTGGACACTCCTTTGTTTTTTCCCAGCAGTTGCAAGCACAGAAAAATCTTTAATTTTTTATGTTTTCCCATCCTCAACCCCATTGCTCATTAAGAAAAATAGAGAAAAACAAAACCATCTAAGTGTAACTGAGGAGAGGAAGGATGAGCCTTTGCCACGTGCATATTCCTGTTAGAGGAGATAAAGCAATTTGTTACTGCTGGGTATTTAATAATTCATGCATTGCACTCATCCCTGCTTTCCACTGTATTCAATGACACTCAACATTGTTCTCCAGTCAGCTGTTCTGTTGCTCAGACTTATCTTCTAGAAAAGTTCCTCTGAAGGTTTTAGAGGTTGGTTTGAGGTCTAATGGCCTTGTTCCAGCTGCTGATGCAGTTCTTTGGCTTCTGCATGAGCCCATTTTCAAGGACGCTGCATTTTCACATTGCCTTTTTTTTTTTTTCCTTCCCAGCACATTCCAAATGTGCAGGCACATACACTGCACCAAAATAGCACTCTGAGTCTCATCACCTCAGTGACTGAGCACAAGGTGCAAGTGCTGTTCTTAAAAAGCTGGCTAATGAGCACAAGGTGCAAGTGCTGTTCTTAAAAAGCTGCCTAATGTGTTACATTTGCAGGGGTCATAGCAGAGGAACAGACATTACACTGAGGTTTCTGTATCAAAGTCAGAGATTTAAATGGTGTAGGCTCTCTCACAAGTAATAGAGGGGGAAAGGTAGTAACAGAAGCACCCAAACAGAGGTTGTAACACTTCACTGCCAGTGGCCATCTGATGCTTTCTTGATCTTAATGTTTTTATCAAGGGATAGCTTCAGATACTACTTGTCCTTCTAGATGCTACAAGCCCCCAGAGATGTTTGTAAATTCAGGTGCTGGATGCTAGAGTTAGTGATAAACTTGACAGAGAAGCTCGTTGTGGTCTTCCCTACTCCCCAGGTGTTCCTAAGCTCTGTGCTGGCCTGGGCAGCAGGGCTCCTCCAGCAAACTTGTCCTTTCCTTGATCTGGCATCTCAAGATCAGGCTCCACTCCAAGCTGATCAGGGCACAGTGTTCTGGCTTGGTTATGGTGTAAGCAGAATATCCTGTTGTTCCTTGGCAGGTGTCCCAGAAGAACCGGATCAGAACCTGTCCAGCCCAGAGGAAGTTTTCCACTCAGGGCACTCGCGGAACTCCAGCTACGCCAGCCAGCAGTCCAAGATCTCTGGTAACCACTGATCCACACAGCTCTGCCAGCACTGACCGCATGCATTTTCTTCCTTGCAATGAATCCCTGTGAGAGTGACTTGCAGCCATCTCTCCCCCTGCTCTGTAATACCAGCCTCCTGCTCAGTCTCTGCAGACGAGCTCGCAGATTTATGCCTAAACTTTTGTGTGCAGGAGCACAAACGCTGGTGTGAAGCTGCCCTGCCTGTTAGCTGTGCTGCCAGGAAGGTGGGGGGGAGGTGTGGACTGTGATCACCCTGTGTCTGCAGGTTACAGCACGGAGCACTCCCGCTCCTCCAGCATGTCCGACCTGACCCACCGCCGGAACACGTCCACCAGCAGCAGCGCGTCCGGAGGGCTCAGCATGACGGTGGAGTGTCCTGAGGGAGAGCGGGACCACAAACTAGAGAAGCCACCTCGCCCCCCCAGACCGGCCCTTCTGCTGGACAGACCCTCCCGGTGAGTAACTCCGGAGCAGAGACCCCTCTCTGGGAAGGAGAGACAGAACCTACTCCTTGATTTTCATGCAGCGGTAGGTCGGATTGTAGCCGCTGAGGAGGAGATTATTGCCAAGAGAAGCGGGACTGCAGATGAAAATCTGTGTCTGGAAAAGCTGAGTAAATTTTCCCTGTGTTTCCTCTCCCCTCAGAAGGAAAAAGGATTCAGTGGAGAGTCACCCAACCCGAGTGGATGACACCAGGATCGATGCTGATGATATAGTGGAGAAAATAATGCAGAGCCAGGACTTCACAGATGTCAGCAATACTGAAGGTGAGGGAGGAGTCTCAGAGGGGATGTCTGGGCTGTTCCTCTGGCGAGGCTGACAAGGGTTTACAGTCAGCTCTGACCTGCCATGGGCTCCCTTCCCCTTTTGACAGCTATTTGCTTTCAGTGCTTGCTGGGTGGTTCTGTGGTAGATAAACCATGTGGGTTTGAGAGCTGCACATCCATTCACAAATAGCCTTTGCTGCTGTTCCACACGTGACAGCAGAGGTTGAACAGGAGCTCAAACATGCAGGGGGAGAGAGGAAAAATACTGATTCTCAGTGCAGTGGAAATCAGTTACATCAGCTGTCTGCACTGCTCTGGTGGCCTCTGTCCAGGGTCAGCCCAAGGGTATTTATTAAAATAGGAGAGCACCAACTGGAGGGGAAACAGCACATCTCTGCAGAAAGATGGGAATGACTATGGGTTATAGTGTGCTGGGACCAGCTCTGGCTGAGAACTTAGGAAGGGATTTTATCCTTTGTAGTCATAGCATCTGTTAAGAGAAAACTAATAAAATAATTGCATTTATTTTCATTTTTCAGTTTAGCATAGAAATCAATCTTTTTCATCTGATTTTTTTTCATCTGAGGTTTTTTGTTAAGTTTTAAACTTGAGCCTAGCTCATTGTTTGTGAAGCTTCTTCAGTTTACCATTAGTCACATTAAATCATTGCATGTGGTAACACTCTTATCATATGGGGATTTACACCTCACTCAGCATGAGTTAAAACTAGACTGAATGCAGCTGCCTCTTGCCAGCAGAACAGGCTGAGTTTCTTCTCCAGGGAGCCTACAAAAGCAGCATGAAGCTCCACATCTCATCTGTTCAGATGTACTTAAGCTGACCGAGAACTTGCATCAATGGAATTGCCTTAAAAGAAGCAGCTGGAGGAGTATCACTGAATTAATTTCCCTGCCTTTACTCTTCCAAAGCTTCATGTTATGGAGGCTCCCTTTCAGAGCAAGGAGAGGAGTTCCTAGGGGTTCCATTGCTGTGGGAACACCACCAGGAAGTTGTGCATGTGTATCCACAGAACCACACTTGCTCCGTGCTGACCACTGTGCAGTGTGTCTGGGAGGGGAGCACCTGGCAGGGTTGGTAGCTCTGGATTTTAATGTCTGTGTTGCTTTTCTCTCTGCAGACAGTAACCTGAGGTTGTTTGTGAGCAGGGATGGAACAACTACGCTGAGTGGAATTCAGCTGGGAAACAGGTAAGCTTCCCAAAAGCCTGGCAGACAGAGGGTCTCCAGGGGAATTGGTGAGCTCTCTGTACCCAGGGAACTTCCACCTTTTGCTGCAGGAGAGATTTCTAAATACCACACATTACATGGTGGCTTTATCCCCACATTAACACCCCTGAGATCCCTTTGGAGGCAGGCTACAGCTGCACTGGAGTATGAATGTAGTTCTCAGCAGGAGCTCACAGGGATAATGGGATTCTAATTGTTAGACCCAGGAACAGAAGTAGGGAGTGAAAGGGCAAAATGGTAGAGGCTGGTTCCCGTTCGCTCCTGAAGGAGGGAGCTTTGCCTCCTGCTGGCCTGCAGCAAAACTGCGGCAGCAGCCTGGCTTTTTGTCCCTTGTCCCTGCCTCTTATTGTCCCTTTTCCCTGCCTCCTCCATAATCCTGGAGGGCTTGTCCTCTCATGAAAGACTCCTGAAGCAATAAAACTTTTCCTTGCCACAAATAGCTCTTAGTACAATGCCTCGGCCAGTTGCCTTTGAGCCTTTATTGCACCTTTTGAGTTGAACAAATAAAAAGCAGTAATGTTAATACAAAGATGTGTCGAGTTGGTGGCAGAATTGGGAGCACAGCAAAGCCAGGAATGCAGGCTCTTTGTGCAGGATGGGATACTCCCCCCCTTTCCTCTGTCCTTTGGAAGGGTTCATGTGTTACACCCAGCTCTCCCCAGCTCTCTGGTCTTGGCTTGCCACGTCTCTGTCTGCTCTGTGTTACGAGGGCTGACTTCCAGCCAGGCTGACTCGTGATTTGCAGTGTTTTGTGTGGGGTTAGAGGACGGTGTTTGTGAGTGGAGAGCTCTGAATCAGAACTTGCTTGCTCAGAGTGACTGCGGAAAATAACCTGCCTCCCTCCACTTCTCCCCCTCTGCCTCCCCAGGGTCTCGTCTGGAGTTTACGAGCCAGTGGTGATTGAAACCCACTAAATGTGAAGAACAGGGTAGAGCTGCTGGACACAGGCCCCCTACCCAGTCCGCTGCCACATGGATGCCAACCTTTACCTCTCTTCATGCAGCATTCCAGAAGGGATTTCTCCATGCCCCTCCCCATACGTTTGCACTGCAGAACTACTCCAAGACCACTCCAGAACATGCACTTTCCCTGCATTGGCATTATCCTTCTCTGCTTCCTGGTCCTTCCAGTGCCTGCCTTCCCCCTGTTCCTGCTGAGATGCAAGGTGTCTGTGGGGCTTATCCTTGGGCTAGTCCCGGAGGATGTTGCTCGTGTCCATCCCTCACTCCACCCATTCACTTGCAGCGGGGGACTTCTCAGCTTCTGTCTCCCCAAAACATTGGGTTATACCACTGTGAACTCTTCAAACCACTGGGGGAGGGGGAAGCCATTCTAACCAAACCCAGAGCTGCTTGTTGGGGACATGGTGACACGGCCACTTGCAGGATGCTTTATTCCATTGACTCTGCAAGGGAACGTCACCTCCCAGGGCAATGGTTTTACTGAACAAGGTATGCTGTGGTGTACACCTCATCTTCCTACCCTCACATCCCCAAACATCATCTTCTCATAGGAAATACTTCCCAAAAGTGCATTTCAGAAAAATTCCGCAATCCAGCTGGGAGTTGATGAACGGTTAAATGCGAGTGCTCGTCACACCACTGACTGCAGTAGCCCTTCCACTGCTGGGCATGGAAGGGAATGGTCATCAACTAGCATTAGCAGGAGCACTTTAGAGGTTACAGATTTTACCTGGAGGAGGCTTCTACTCATTATTCCAGGAGCATAATCCAGATTTGCTGGACTGATTCAGCAAATAGTGCTGTTGGAGCTTGGAATACAAAGCCTCTCTTTTTCGGGGTTTTTGTTTTTTTTTTTTGGCTCAGGAAGGGAACTGCCCTTCTTGGACTGTGAAAAGAATATGGTTCTCTGACAGCCCTCCCCTGGGCCAGAGCAGGGTGCAGTTGACTGCAGTGGTCTCTCTGTTGTGGTGGTGATGTCGATTGCCTCTCTTGGCCTGGGCCAGTAAGGGGTTCGGTGTTGGTTGGCCTTTCTTGCCCTGTCAGCAAAGATCTGTGTCTGAGCTGGTTCCTTCTGGGGCTGGGGAGAAGCCACTGTCTCTGCCTTCAAGGGTAGAATGGGTGTTTGCTGCTGCATTAGCCACAGCAGCTGTTCTTACCTGCTCCGTGGCGAGTGAACTCTTCTGACAAGGCTTCAAACTGTTCTCTGGTCGATCTTTCAATTGCTCTTCTTTGGGTTTGGTTTCTGCAGTTGTTCAACACTTTAGCTGCCTCTTTTCCTTGCAGTGTGTGGCTGAGATGTCTCTCCCTTTCAGCTCCCACTCGGAGATCCTCCCGGCAGCCGAATTGCCGGCGAGGATCCGCGCAGCCCCCGCCGTGGGCCGGCAGCGGGCTGTGCTTGCAGCCCTTCCTGTACAGAGCCTCTCAGCTGATAAGCTATTTCTGTGTAGTGCCCATTCCTCTTTTGCCAGTGTACTGTGGTAGCACTCGACAGCCGTGCCCTCGGAGCAATTCCACGCTGGTGGGCTTGGCTGGGGTGTGCCCTCCTCTGACACACACGTGTTTTGTGTGTGTGTGTGCACATGTACAGACACACACTCGTCCTGCTCAGAAAGGAAAAGCTTGTAACTGATCACGTCTCTCAAATTCTTAGTTATTTTAAGCCTTTTTTTTTTTTTTTTTTGAAGGAGAAAAAACAAACAAACAAACAAAAAAAGGATTAATTGTGGTCTCTGTGGCCAGAATGCATGCAGATGAGCTACAGGAAAAGGGAATTTGGCAGAATGAGAAACAAGGAATGAAAGGGCCTTGATGTATCATTTTTTTTTCACCCTCCTAGTTAAGGATGCTGCATGGGGAGTGCATGGGTGCTCAGCAGTGTGGCAAAGCTGTACAACTGCTTACTCTGTTTTGAAAGTTTCTCGCTTTAAGAGGTTTCTTTCTGTATTTGGACAGACCACATATAGGATATGCATCTTTTTCACCCTCTCCCTTCAAGGGGAAGTAAATTTGAATTAGGGTAAGAAGAGAGTACAGCCAACACCTTGGTTTGCTTTAATGTAGGGAAAACGTGTTGAATCTTGAGTCTGTTAGGAACAAAAGCTCTTTCACACTTGCTGGTGTTTTTTAGTGGTGATCCCTTCTTCATTCAGCCTGGGTAGGTTTAGCACTTGCCAGCAGGCTGCTGAGCATCCTGCCCTGTTCCTGGGGTGCTGCGTGTCTGCAGGAAGGAGAGAACTGCTTGCTTTTCTCTCTCCCTGGGGCTCTGCCAGAAAGCCAGGCCTGGCCTGACCCTCTGCTCAGGTCAGGGTGAGGGCAGAAGGAGGCTCAGACAGCAGTGGGTGTTCCTGCCCTGTCTGTGGCTGGCTGTGCAGAGCTGAGGGTCAGCACAGAGCCCCTGCTACTCCTCAGGGGCCAGCGAAGCCCCTCGAGGAAATCAGATCCAACTGCGACTTGAAAAGAGCAAACATAATCCAGGAAAGAGGCCAAAACCCAGTTCACTTCGGCTGCATTGCTTCTGTTCCCATGAAAAACAATGGCAGTCACTGTCAGAGCAGTTGGGATTCTTCTGGCATTCTTCTGGCCTCCACTGGCAGGAGTCGGCTGCTCCGAGACACTGGCAGCTCGGCATGTCACGAAATCTCCAGCGAGGCAGTGGGAGGAATCTCTTCCCAGCAAAGCAAGAGGAGAAGCTTTTTGGAGCTTTTTGGGAAGCTGGTCTCATCTCCCCAGGCTGGCAGAGGCGTAACCTGCTCCATCACGTCGCTGTGGCCAACCTGGGGCACGTCTTTGGCTTCTCTTCCCTGTGGCTTGGCACATCGCTGCTTGCATTTTGATGGCTGTGTCTCATAGGATATCTCTTCCTTGTCTCCGTGTTATTGTTGATTCCACAGATCCTGGTCTTTATGTGGCTTTTTAGCTCTCCTACCCCTCGTTCTGGATGAGAAAGCAGTCCTAGTCATCCAGCCTGGCTCAGGGCTGGAGCACCCAGAGCAGACCCCGAGGGAGGAAGAGCAGCATGAGCAGTGCCTGGTGGTCCCTGGCTGGCCATGGGCATCCGAGGTGGTGGTGGCCGTGGGGTCACTGGTCCCACACAGTCTCTGCTGTCTCGGGAAGCTGCGTCTCGTGAGCACTTTTTTTCCTTGTGGCATCGCTGCCGCCTGTTCCTTGTTGGACTTTGAACATTTAAGAAGTGAATCAGTTTCCAGACCCAAACCGCTGGCTAGTTTCCTTTGGGTTTTTCTCTTTTTCTTTTTTTGTTGTGAAGTTTATGGATTTTTTTTTTTCTTTATGTAAACCCAGCAGGCTGGTGTTTTTTTGAACTGCATTATTGTTTCATTGATATTTTATTTCAAGGGGGCTAAGGGTGGGGGGGGGAAACACGTTCTTCCCCACATTGTTCCCCTTCTCAGGGGATTCAGAGGTGGCTTAAACAAGTAAAAGGACCTTATTGGTGAGGCTTTGCATCCCCTGGGTCTTTGATGCTGATGAGCAGGGCTGCTCATGCCTGGCTGGCTCTGGAGGGCAGAGCTGGCTCTCTGCTCCAGTCTGGGGGGGCCAGGCAAAATGTGTGGGCTCTGCTCTCCCAGTTTCTGGACCTTTAGTTGGTGGAAGCCCATTGCAAAGCATTAGGAAATTCAGTGTAACTTTTTTTACTAACTTTTCTTTTTTAAAACCGGTATAAAACTGATTGAATGTCCAAAAGAATAGGCTTAGCCGCGACTTGGTGAAGGAGATGGGTTTCAATTGGAAATTGTGATTGGAAAAAGGGGGAGAAGGATGTTGCTCCTCCATCATCTTCTGTGTGGTCAGCACCTTGAGCGGGGGCCTCGTGCTGTCCTGACCCTTGGAGCGATGGGCAGCAGGCGTGTGATTTCTCCCCCCCCTCGTTGCCACATCACTTTGCCCCCTGCAGAAAGTTAACAAGCCCTTTTAAACGTTTGCTTCAGTTTTTAGAGGGTTCCAAACCAGGCCGAGACCTGAAGAAATAGGTATTTCATTCTCATCTGAATAGGAGGGGTTGACTTTTTTTTTTTTTTTTTGGTTAATTTATTTTGTCGTTGCTGTTTTCTTTTTAAACCCGTGGCAGTGCAGCTGGGCTCTGCACTGCCGCCGGGATCCTCTGGGAAAACCTCACTCCAGGTACGCTAGAGCACCTCGGATAAACCCCCTCCTGGCGAGGGGTCCCCTTCCCTCCTCGCTGCCTTACCCGGGGGCTGCAGACCCCTCTCTGCCCCTCCTGCCCCGTCCCTGCTGCCCCACCCGGTCTCTAGCTGAGTTCTTGCCCCGGTGACTGAGCCCTGTGGACAAGGCCGGTCCCCAGGGACAAGTTCCTACAAACACTGCCTGGTCGCAGCTGTTTGTCCTTTGAAAAGCCACTTCCTCGCTGTGGGGGGGGGGGATGATGAGTGCAGAATTCCCCCACACTCCCCTCCTGAGAGCTGTGCCCATCAGTCCCCCCCATCCCGTGCCATCCAAGCCCACTGCCCTCCACAGTCGCCCCCGCCCCGCTGGGGGATGTGGAAACCTGGGAAATGAAAAGGAATTTGGGTGAAGCTCCGAGCGAGGGGCGCGGCTGAGCCTCGGGACCTGCCTCTGAAACACAAGGAGTAACGGCAGAGCCCATATTTTTGTGGGGGGAGGGAGGGAGGGGGCAAGAAGGGGGAGATGGTGTTTTATTTTCTTGAAAGTGAATTGAGCTTGGTGACCTTCGGCTGAGGCGCGCACTCGATTTGTATCAGATTCTATAAGAGAGATGGCTGATATTTTTGGAAAGGGAATGGGTCTATGCAAACTTCCAAAATTGCTTGAAAAGATAGTTTAACATTTTTTTTACTTTGAAATCTAAAGATGAATCTAACTTTTTTCTTAAAGCAGAAGTGCGTTTAGAAAGAGAAGCTACTTCCACTGCTCTATTTTGATGATGATTCTTGGAAAGTTTGGGCTGGAGGGAATGACTATTTTTCACCATTTTTATCTTGCTCCTCTAGTTTTTTTGTTTCTTTTTTTCTAACGGAATGCTGTGCCGTCTTTGATTCAACAGATCGTGTTTGTATTTTCTGTATCTGGTTCCTAACGTAGAGAAATAACAAATATATGAGGAAATCAATATAATGTCAAATGTTGTTATGGTTTGGGGGGGAAAAAAAATAAAGGTTTTTGGTACTTCACATTAATTCTCCTTGCTCTGTTTCTTGTTTTTTAAATGCATTTAAATGTCTGCTGAGGAAGCAGGAGGTTGAGAAGGGTGTGCTGGGGCTTGGAATAGGATTTGGCTTTGCCTTCTAGGATTGCTTTGGCGGCTGGGAGCAGAGATCCCTGCCAGCCCTTCTCTGCGGATGGAGAGGGGAGCTGGCAGCACATCACCAGTCCCGTGGAAGCAGCGATCCCAGGGAAAGGTGACCTGGCTGAGTGGCCAGCAAGTGTCCCTTGTTCCTGAATGCCAGGTTCTGTTTGATTCCCGCTGTCCTGCTCTGCTCCCAGGCTGGCCTGGGGGAAGGAACCTCAGCCCCGCAGGCTCCAGGGAAGGGAGTGGAGTTCTCTGGGTTCTCTTGGCTTGTGGCGGAGCCGCCCCTCTGTCAGCCTTGCCCTGGTTTCGGGTAGGGGAGGCAGCCATGCGCTCCCTTGTGTCCCTCGGCTGCTGGGTCTCCCTTCTCCCTGCGGGTGTGTTTGGAGGCACGGCCGGGCCGCAGGCTCTGTGTCCCGCGGGATGCACCCTGTTCCCGAAGGAGACCCATTCCCCGGCACCGGGAGCTGTGGAAGGGATCTGAGTCCCGCACGAGGGACAGGGAGGGCGGGAGCGCTGTCGGCCCGTCAGGCGTTACCCCCTGCCAGGCTCGGGGCGGCGCCGCACGCGAGGGATCCCCGAATTCCCTGGATTTGGGGGAGTTCCCCGGATTTCAGGGCTGATGGGGGCGGGGCCTCCCGCACGCCCCGCCCAGCGCCGCGCGCCCCCTAACCACCCGCGCTGATTGGTCGCCGCCGAGCGCGGTGCGGGCGGGGCTGTCGGACCGCGCGCTGATTGGCGGGCGCTCCGGAAGGGGCGGTGCCGGCGGGGAGCGGCCCGGGCGCCATGGTGAGTGCGGGCAGGGCCGCGGGGCGTGAGGGGGAACGGGGGGGCTCCTCCCGCAACCGGGGCTTCCCCCGCGCCCGCACCCTCCCTGCTCGGCCCGGCACCACAGCCGGCTTGAGCTGAATCGCGGCCAGGAGTCCGCTCGGGGTCCCCATGACTGCCGCCCCCGCGGAGAGCCCGGGCCCGGCCGCCTCCCGAGGTCGGCGGGGTCGGTGCTTGGGTGGCCCGGGACGGGATGCGGGGTGTGAGCTGACTCGGGGGACTCCCAACTACAGGGGCCAGGTGGTCCCTGCAGCCCCCGCTGGGTTGTCCCGCCGCAGCGGCCCCGGCCCCGCGGTGTCCCCTCCGCTGGATGTCCCCTCCCTGCGGTGTCCCCTCCCCGCGGTGTCCCATCCCCGCGGTATTCCAGCCCCGCGGTGACACAACAAAGGTGCCATCGGCAGCTTCCGCACAGGCACTGCCGTCCCGGTCCCACTCTGACTCTTTCTCTCCCTTCGCAGGCCACAGCGACGGACCAGCTGGTTGGGTTCGGCTTGGTCGCCTTCAGCCTGGTCCTGTTTGTTTACTACACCCTCTGGATCATCGTGCTGGTACGGGTCTCCTCTGGCCATTATAACGCAGTCACTCCACACTCAGGTGTTTCCCCAGCCTTTGTTCAGGTGCTGATGTGTCCGTGTACCCCAAGGACTCCTGCCTTCTGGGTTAAAAATTTCAGGGCAGAGCTTCCTCTGTGTGCTGGCACAGCCCTTGTCCCTTCTGGGTATGCCTGGCCTTGCCTGGCCGAGACCAAATATCAATTGTGGTGCTCGCCTGCTGCTCTGAGACAGGCCAGCCCAGCCAGGGTGGGATCTGGGGCTCATTCAAGTCATTGGGGAGAGCTGAAGCCTTGCCCTGATGGAGGTGTGACCATCAGTGTCCACATTTGCATCCCCCAGATTCATGGTTCTTGTTGGAGAAGACAGAGGAAAACATAAGAGAGATGAACCTTAACAAATTTGGAGCCTGGTAGGGAGGAGAAGAGCTTAGGGAATGGAGAGCTCTGGGAAAGTGATTTGTGAGGCTGCCCACTTCTGGGAGATGACACATCAGCTGGGTCATTAATGTTTTTTCCCTGGAAAGAACTTCTCATGAGCTTTCCAGGTGTGCAAGAGCCCAGGGCTGATGTCCAAACTCCTGGCAACTTCTCCTCCAACTCTGAGGGTTTTGAATTCCCCTCTTGCATCTGCTGCCCTGATCCGTGTCAGTGCTGCCAGCGGTCCCAGAGCCATGCTGGTGTTCCCGGCAGTCCTGGAGCTGTAGATGCACTCCTTGCTGTGTGGGAATCCTCACACTGCTCTCTAGTGTCCAGAGCCGTACACTGATGGATCCTGGCGGGATCCCCACGGAGCAGAGCCGTTGTCAGCCGCTCCCTTCTGCAAGGCAGCGAGCCGGGGGATTTGCTCTGCACCGGCAGCTGTGCCCACCCCGAGCCCCCAGGGCTGTGGGACCCCCTGTGCCAGCCCTGGTAGCCCCCTCTCGAGGCTGCAGGTGCTGGGGGCGTGCCCTGGTGTTCTGCCCACCTGCTGACCCCCCTCTCTGTCCCTGCAGCCTTTCATCGACAGCGACCATGGGATCCACCAGTACTTCCTGCCCCGGGAATACGCAGTTATCATCCCCGTGGTGGCTGGGCTGCTGCTGCTGCTATTTATAGGTGAGAGTTATTTCTGTTCTAATTAGAAACTTCTAAATTAGGAAGAGAGAAGAGGGTTGCTTGGGGCTTAGCTAATGTGTGACACTCGTGACACTCTGTGTGGCTGCTGCCACAGCTTAGCCTGGCCCGGGGACTCAGGGGTGTGTCTGCGTGTGACTTTGGCTGTTTGAACCTCTGGGCAGTGGAATTTTCTTGCTCTCTCAGCTGAGGCTCTGTTTCTCACTACCAGAAGTGCCTGGAATTACAAGTTTTCTGGCTGAATCTGTTCTCTCTCTCTCATGGCAGGTGTTTTTATAATGATCGTGATGTGGAAGAGCAGGAAACCTGCCAAGAAATCGGACTGAAGGCCCGGCTGAGATGAGGAGAAGGTGCCCAGCCTGTGGCATCGTAGCCAGGAAAAGACTGTTCCTGCAGCTCTGGGCAAACACCTCCTCCAGGGTGCCCAAGCTGCTCCCACGTTCCTTCCAGCGGAGACTAAACCACCTGTAGTTTACAACTTACTGACCAAAGGGAAGCAGGACTCATCCAAGACTCATCAAGAGAGGGACCAGAGCCCTGCTGAGGGACCTTCTCCCCATCTGGGGCTGCCCTGCCTGGCCCCTGGGCACTCCTTCCCCTCTGCTCTGGCCCTGCCCAGTAGTTTGTTCCTTCTGGGGTTTTTTAAACGTTTACATACAGTTCATGTGGGGGGGGTTGGATTCAAATTTGAAGAAATGAGACTTTGGTGTTGGGAAGGGCACGTTTGCCTTCTCCATTTGCTGCTGGCAGGGCTAATCATGGTGCTGGGGGCTCTTTCCTTTCAGAAGAGGGACCCCCATGAGGATGGGTGTGCAGAGGATGCAGGGACAGTGCTGCCCTGTGCACCCCCTCCTGCAGTCACCTGGCTGAGAGGGTGGCAAGGAGACGTCCTGGATCACAGGGAATTGTTTGGGTGCAGTTCCCATCGCAGCTGTCAGTGCTGGCTGGGTTCCTGCCCTGGACAAGGCTCCACATGGGGATGGGGATGAGCAGGCCAGCGTGGTGGCACCGTCCTTCCCCCGTGGGATTTCCTCCCCTGGCAGCTCCCCTGGATCACAGCGAGCAGGATCACCCTCAATAAAGGTCTGCAAGGTCTCAGTCCCTGTCCTCTGCCCGTGCCAAGGGATGCCACAGGTCAACCAGGATGGGTTCAACTGCATGTCCTGTCTCCCATCCTGCCAGGGGGTGATACTGGTGGCTGGGGTGCCACAGGTCTTGGGCTGAACCTGGCTGCAGGAGTCACTGCGTGGGTTCACAGGAGAGGTCATAAAATGACCTCTGGCTGGAGGTTTGTTTCCAGCTCTTGCAGAGGCTGCCTGGCTGTGCCAGGTTGTTGCTCTTGCCTCCCTTAGGTTGAGTCCTCATCCCCCCGTTCTCCCTTGCTGCTCCTCCTGGTGAGGAACCCCTCTTTGCCCTTCCCAGCCCCTCACCCGCTGGTCAGGGCTCAGCCCACCCCACAAGGGTGGGTTTGGGCTGGGGCAGGGGGAGGCAAAAGGGGGAAGAATTCAGTGGTGACATGTCTCCTCCCCCTGGCACTGCTTCCTGTGCAGAAGCCCCGTGATGTCCCTGTCAGTGTCCCTTCTTCCTCCCGATCCAGGCCTGTGCAGGACGGAGTCCGGAGCGGTTTCAAGGTTACATCTCATATTTCTTTATCAGCAGTAGCAGAAATTAAAGCCCAGTGTCCCATCCTGGGCTGGCTGCAGCTCACTCTGGGGTCACATCTCTCAGGTACTGTGTGTTTTGACTGTGGCAAGAGGGGCTGCAGATGACAAGTGGCCCCCAGGGCCATCAGACGGGGCCCAGGGCACCGAGGGGTCACTGGCCTCGGCCCCGCTCCTGAGCCATTCCGGATCCTTGTGCTCCCTGGGCTCTCCAGGGTCCAGCGTGGTTGGGAGCTGGTGGAGGACTGAGTTGAGAGAGGAGCTGGGACAGGGGGCTGCAGGGACCCTTGGGCAGGAGTGGAGCCTGAGAGGGCAGAGCAGGAGTGGGGAGAGACATGGGGGGTCGGTCCCGGGGCACACGGTAAGAAGAAGCGGGGGTCGGTACGGGGGTACACGGGTGGGCGCGTCCGCGGAGCAGCCGGGCCGCGGGGCGGGGCGGGTGGGGCGGTCCCGGTGCCGGTCCCGGCCCCGGCAGTGCCCTCTCGGCTCCGCCCCGCCGCGGCCCGCCAGCCCCGGTCCCCGCCCGGCCGGGATGCGGGAGCCGCCGGCGGCCTCCTGGGGCTCCCGGCGCGGTGAGTGGGGCCCGCACCGGGCACCGGGGGCGCTGCTGCGGGGGGACATCCCGGCCCAGCCCCCTGCCCGGCGGGGCGGCACCCGCGGAGGCCCGGGGGGTACTGGGCGAGTGGGGGGATCCGGGGCATGGGGTGCGGTGGGGGGGTCCTGGTTCTGGCCCCGGGGGGTCCCGGCACGAGGAATGGGGGTGACACAGGGGCGTTGGGGGACAGGGGGAGGTGGATCTCCCTGGGTATCTTCCTCCCGGGAGTACCGCTGCTGACCTCGCTCCGCATGCAGGGTGCGAACCCCCACCCTGCGGGGGACCCCCGGACCCTGCCTGGTGACCCGCCAGCCCCTCGAGGATGAAGACGCTGGTGAGTACCCGCAGGGACGGGAGGCGAGGGGCCGGTGCGACCCCCCCAGCATCCAGGCGGCCGCTCGCCCCGAAAGCGATGCTGAGGTGGGGGCTGAGCCCGCAGCTGGCGGTGCCCGCGGGCGGCGCGGAGCCCGTGGGGGGTGCGGGCATCGCCGCTGCAGGAAGCGAGCCGGGCCCGGCGCATCCTCCGAGGGGCTGCCCCCGGCATGGCCGCGGGGCCACCGGCATCCGACGTGGGGCCGGTGCACGTGGCCAGGCCCGGAGAACCCTCCGCACTCTGCTTCCAGGTCCGGCTCTTCTTCACGCTGGTGTGCACAGCGGTGGTGGCGGTGCTGTACATCCTGCTGTCCTCCCTCGCCCGCCCGCAGCCCTGCTGCCAGGCCCCGGGGCAGCAGGGCAGCCCCGCGGCATCCACCCTCCGTAGCTTCCAGGGATACAGCCGCGTTCCCGACGGGAAGGTGCGTAGGGATGGGGGCAGCGCTGGGGCAGCTTGACCCACCCGTGCCTCAGTTTCCCTTCCTTAGGGAAGGGCAGACAGGGGCTGCGGTGTGTCCAGCCGCTGCGGAAGGGAAGGGGGAGCTGACGGTGCATCTCCCCACAGCCGCTGGAGCGAGCACTGTGCCGCCACTGCGCCGTGGTGTCCAGCTCGGGGCAGATGCTGGGCTCTCACCTGGGACAGGCCATCGACGGGCAGGAGTGCGTCCTGCGCATGAACCACGCCCCCACCGCCGGCTACGAGGAGGATGTGGGGGCGCGGAGCACCATCCGGGTGGTCTCGCACACCAGCGTCCCACTGCTGCTGAGGAACCAGCCCTACTTCTTCCAGCAGTCCCAGGAGACCCTCTACATCATTTGGGGGCCAGCAAAGAAGCTGAACAGGGAAAAGATGGGCTCGACCTACCAGGCGCTGCTGAAGGTGACGCAGACGTACCCCCAGCTGCAGATCTACACCCTGACTGAGGAGAAGATGACATACTGTGACAACGTCTTCCAGAACGAGACAGGGAAGAACAGGTACTGCTGGCTCCTGAGGGCCCCCATCGGGTCCCCCTGATGTGGCACCCATTCCCCCCCACACTAGGCACCCGTAGCCCAGCCAGGCTGGCAGCACTGTGCCACCCGCTCCAGCGCAGCCACGGTTCTTCACAGGATGAAATCCGGCTCCTTCCTGAGCACGGGCTGGTTCACCATGATCCTGGCCATGGAGCTGTGTGAGCAGATCCGTGTCTTCGGCATGGTCAGCGACAGCTACTGCAGGTGCGTGGGGGGCTGCGGGGGCAGGCAGGGGGTGGTCTGGTGTCCCCCCAGGTCCCACACCCACTCCATGCCCTCCTGCCAGGGAGAAGAACCACTCCAGTGTGCCATACCACTACTTCGAGAAGGGCCGGCTGGACGAGTGCAAGATGTACCTGATGCACGAGCGCGCCCGGCGCGCCGGGCACCGCTTCATCACCGAGAAGGCCATCTTCTCCCGCTGGGCCAAGAGGAGGAACATAGTCTTCACCCACCCGTCCTGGGCGGGCGGGTAGGGCGCCAGCCACGGGTTGAGGCAGCAGAGACCCCGGCGGCGGGGCAGTTCTCATCCTGCACCAGCGTGTCTCGGCTCTGCCAGTGCCACAGTTGAACGTCTTTTGCCAAGCCCTGGAGCAGGGATTCTCCATCTTTGCAGCGGCAGGGCCTGTTCCCCCAGCTGGTGGGTGGGCTGGGACCCCCCATGTCGCTGCATGGGGAGTGTGAGCTGGACCCATGGAGCCCTATCAGCTCCAGACATCTGCCTGTATGGACGCAGGATGACCATGAAGGTTTTCTGCCCACTCTTCTAGGAAGAATATTTAATGCAGATTAAACACTTGCCCTGCTGGGCTCTAGCAGGACATGGGGCAGGAGAGCTCAGCCCTGCCAGGGCCACAAAGTGGTGCCTCTCCCAGGGGTGAAGCTCTGCTGTGGTCCTTGTTCCACTTGTGCCCTGAAACCCAGTGCAGGGAGCCAAATTCAGGCTCCCTCATCCTGCTGCCTTCTGCTGCTCAGTGCCTGGGCAGGTCCCTGCAGCCCCCTGCATCCCCCCAGCTGAGAAGCCCTGGAGCCACATGTGCCCTGGGGGCTCCGAGTTGCCTTGTCACAAGTGCCCTTGGATTCAGACCAAAGCAAACGTGGCTATTAAAAGTGTTTTTAATTCAGTGGTGCCCCATGTTGTGCCCCTTTGTGGCTGATGAACGTGGGGACAGGGGAGACGACAGCTGATCACTGGGCTGCTGGTGCCCAGCTCCACTGCCAGGCTATAAATAAGGGGGAGGTGACAAGGGGGTAGAGCTGAGCCTCAGCATGGAGGAGGGTGCTGAAAGCAGTTGAGGTTATTTGGGAACCAGCAGCTGCATCTCTGCAAGATGGGTGCTGGGTCTGGGCTGATCCTTGGCCTCACAGGGCTCAGCTCTGCTGGGCTGCAAGCAGGACGCTGTGGCAGCTCCTGTGTCCCTGGAGAGATGGGACATGCCACAGGCACTTTTGTGGCCCTGAACCCATAGCAGCTTTTTGAACCCATAACAAGTGCCATGTGTCTGGGGAGCCAGGGAGAGAGGAGAGGCAGAGATGTTGGGGGTGCAGTGAGGAGTGAACGGTCTGGGAACTTCTGGAAATGTTGCCAGGGCAGTTTCTCCAGGGAGTGCAGCAGAGGAGCCCGTGGAGCTCTTTTCCTCATACCCCAGCTGCTACAGCTTTTCCTCATACCTCAGTTGTCACAGCCCCATGCAGGGCAGGGCATCACTGGCACGCAGAGCCAGAATCCCTCTGGACAGGCACCAGGGATGCACCTGCCAGCAGTGGAGCTCCTTCCCTGCCCCACAAAACCCCTCAGAGAGGGGTTCTGCTCTGCTCAGCCAGCGCGGGGGAGGCCGTGGCATCTCAGCAATGCGCTGGGTCAGGCACCGCGAGCTACTCCTGGCGCTGCCGGGCAGCGCTTGGCCCCATCCTCCCACCGGGGGCGGGCAGGGCAGGGGGGCATCCCCGGCCTTCCCCGTCGGGGTCCAGAGCGGGGAGGGCGGCACTAGGACCCCGTGGCTCTTCCTTTCCCGGGAGGGCGGCACTAGGACCCCGTGGCTCTTCCTTTCCCGGGAGGGCGGCACTGGGACCCGGCGGCTCCCCCCCCATCGCGGGAAGGCGGCGCTAGGACCCGGCCTGGGCGGCAGCGGCGGCGATATCGTTATCGATAGCGATATCGGTATCGATAGCGATATCGGTATCGGCAGCGGTATCGCAGCGCACTGCGGGGCGGGAGGAGCGGTCGGTGCATCCCGCGCGTCCCCTCCGGGCCCGTTCAGCCGGTGCAGGGGCGGAATTCTCCGTGTCTGGCGGGGGAGCGGCCCCCGCCCCCGGGACCGGTGCGCGGGGGATGGAGGGGTGGGAAGGGTCCGGCTCCCGCCGTGTCGCCGCTGCCGGGGACGGGGGGGCTGCACCCCGAGGCTGGGGAGGACTCGGGCGTGGGAGCGGCGGGAGGTTCGCGCCCCGGGCCGGGCGGGTTTTCCCCTTCCCTGGGGACGGGGGAGGATTCGCATCCGGGGCTGAGGGACCCCCGGGGTTCGCATCTGGGGCTGGGGGACCTCCGGCGGGGGAAGGGGGTCGGGTCTGGAGCAGCCCTTTCCCGCAGAGCGGCGATGTGAGCCCCGGGCCCCGCCATGGCCGAGCCCGCCGGAGGGGCCGGGCAGCCCCCGCCGCCCGCGGGGCGCAGGAGGTGACGGACCCCCCATGAGAGCCCCCAACAGGTAAGGCCGAGGGGTCCCGCCGTGGGGTCCCCTCCGAGGGGTCCCCCATGGCCCCAGAGCTATGCAGGGAGAGAAGTGCGGTCCGGGAGTGGGGGTCCCACAGCCTCCCCAGCCCCCGCACGGCGAAGGCTCCCCCAGCATCGCCCCCAGCATCACATGGCCTGGGGTCCCCGGGCAGGCTGGCACCTTCCCGGGCACCGGCACCGGCCCTGAGAGCCTCTCGAGGTCTCAGCTCCCCCGAGGCGTTGATCCCAGGCTGTTGCATAATTTTTGTTCCAGTGCAATTAGTAAAGAGGCTTCAGGGTTTTTAATTTCCACTTGGCTCCAAGCGCTCCAGGAGCGGCTGGGACTTACTACCCAGGGCTCACAAAAGTAAACTGGGTCAGTCTGTTTCAAGTGGAGGTTAGAGAGGATCCCTGGGGTACTCTGGGGTTCACCCCACACACCTTGGCCCTGGGCAGCTCTGCTGGATTCAAGCCTGTGCATGCACTGAGTTGGGCAGGTCTCACTTCCGTCCGTGCCCTCCTTATCCAAGCCTCCACGGCTGTTGTTTTAATGGGATTTCACTGCACGAGCAGCAGGTTGACCCTCCCTGTGGTTTGAGCGGTTTCAGCCCCACCAACAGAGGATAATCCTCCCTGGAGCTCAGCCCAAGACAGGGATCCTGCCGGCACAAGCCGTGGCTTCTCTGCACCCCAGAGCCTGCCTGGCCTCTACCCACAGCATTTCCCTTCCCTGAATCAATTCCAGGGTTTTGTCCTCCCCTTCAAAGGGAGGAGACCTGGGAACTCATCCTACATACGGCTCCTCTGGTATCCCCACCGGGTCAGTATCATATCCCCATGGGCCAGTGCTGGGGCTGACCACGTGCCTTGCAGGTGCTCACGGGACACCGGCGACCACCGTGCGCTGAGACCGGCACAAAGACATGAGTGGCAGCGCGGTGAGTGCCAGGGAACCACCCCAAGGACCTCCCTGGGGACACCAGGCGTCCTGCTGGAGGTGCCGTGGGAGCGGGGTGGGTGCTGACACCCATGAGGTGGGTGGGGGCAGCGGCTGACGCTCTCCCCCCGCCCGCAGAGCCAGCGTGCCGCCGCCCTGGGGGTCCTCTTTGCCCTGATCATGTTGCTGATCATCTACAGCTCTGGCAATGGGAGCGAGGTCTTCCCCTACAGCCGCCTGCGGGGCAGAGCCCGCCGGCCCCCCGACCTCAAGAAGTGGGGAGTGAAAAGCGGGTACCTGCCCGTCTGTGGGAACAAGGTACGACCTGGGCCTGGCCTCAGTGGCGGGCACAGGGTCTGTCCCTCTGCTGACATCCAGCCAAACTGTCCCCTCCAGCAGTGGCTCTGCAGGGGACAGTGATGCCCTGTCCACGGTGACACCAAAAGTCACCTGCTCACAGCATTTGTCATTACCAGACCCTGACTGCCCGCTGCCACCAGTGCGTCATTGTCACCAGCTCCAGCCACCTCCTGGGCACCCACCTGGGCACGGCCATCGACGGGGCTGAGTGCACCATCCGCATGAACGATGCTCCCACCACGGGCTACGAGGCTGATGTGGGCAACAAGACCAGCTTCCGTGTGGTGGCCCACTCCAGCCTCTACCGTGTCCTCAAGCGGCCTCAGGAGTTCGTCAACAAGACCCCGGAGAACATCTTCATCTTCTGGGGGCCACCCATCAAGATGCAGAAGAGCCTCCTGAAGATCATCCAGCGCGTCTGTGCCTCCTTCCCCAACATGACGGCCTATGTCGTGTCCCCCGGCCGCATGAAGCAGTTTGATGACCTGTTTCGGGGGGAGACAGGGAAGGACAGGTACCTTGGAGCCACTTCCCATGCCGTGTCCCCCTTTCTCCAGGTCCCCAAAGGAGAGCTGGCTCTTGCAGCTGCTTCATGGGCTGCAGCACCGAGCTGGGGGTCCCTGGGGCAGGTTGGGGACGCTGGTGGTGTCTGTTATCCACATCATCTCACCTTTGTCATCCTTCACAACCCCGTTTTTTCCCTCTCCAGGGAGAAGTCGCGCTCGTGGCTCAGCACTGGGTGGTTCACCATGGTGATCGCGGTGGAGCTGTGCGACGCCGTCCACGTCTATGGCATGGTGCCACCCAGCTACTGCGGGTAAGGAGACCCCTGAGCCCCCCACCCTGGCCCTCTGGCCCCACCATGGGGCTCACACAAATGCTTCTTGCACACCACAGCCACCACCCCCCGCCCCGCCGCCTGCCCTACCACTACTACGAGCCCAAGGGCCCCGACGAGTGCACGACCTACATCCACAACGAGCGGAGCCGCAAGGGCAACCACCACCGCTTCATCACCGAGAAGAGGGTCTTCGCCAGCTGGGCCGGCCTCTACAACATCACCTTCTCCCACCCCAACTGGCCCTAGGGGCTGCCCCCTCGCCTGCCGGGCAGACCTCTGGAGCGGGGATGGATGGGGGTTTCCCTGCATCCCCCTGGGAGCGGTGGGAGCCAGGCATCCGGGTGCCTCCCACAGGACCGCCCCTGTCATGCACAGTGGCCCCGTTGCACCTGGGATGTCTTGGGGTTTGAGCTGGTTTTTGGGGGAGCCAGGTGGCGAGTGCAGGGTTTGGGGTGTCCCGCCTCCACCGGCATGGGGGTGAAATCCTGCCCCACCCTGGTCCAGGCACATTGCAGCCCCTGCAAGAATACAAAAGGGTGCCGTGTCACCTCTGCTCAGTTTGGGGTTGCATCACTTTTGGGGCCACTGCAGAGACTGTTTCCCCCAACTCTCTGAGTGGAAGGACCCCCTCTTGAAGCTCAGCCCCCCTCTGCCATGCCCAGCCCCCCAGTCTCAGTCCTCAGTCACCCCTCCCTCAGCAGAACCCCACAGTTTTTGGTGGGAACCTGTGAGGGTGGCACTTGCCATCCTCGCTGCCCCAGCACCCTGAAAACACCCATTCCCTCCCAGCACCGCTGCGCCCCACACTGCCAAAACCTTTTCTAACTGAATGATGGGATTTTGGGGAGCTTTTGGGGTTTTTGGCATTTTTTCTATCCACTTCTTGTCCCAGAGTTTGTATTTGGGTTTCCTGGCCGAAGGAACAAGCAGGGGCTGCTCATTAGTGGTAACGAAGCAGTAGCCGACTTATAAACAATTAGAAGTGGGTAGGTAGTGGTGGGCATTGGTGCTCCTTGGCACCCTGGGGCCTGGATTTTGTTATTAATATCTTAACAGCGGAGAGGACGTTTTGGGAGAACAGCTAAATATGATGTGTTTGGGTGCTGAGCCTTGGCTGGGCTCCGTGCCTCAGTTTCCCTCTGGCTGTGGCTGGGGTTTTGTGGGGCTCGGTTCAGGGGGAAGCTGTGGGGTGCCTGTGTTTTGTAATGGTTTGTACAGAAATAAATATTGCTGCAGTCTGTTGCCTTGGGCCCTGGCTCCAGGTGGGTTTTTGAGGCTGACGGTGGTGCCATCACAGCGGGTCTTGAGACCTCCAGCCCACAGTGGAGCTGTCCCTGGGTGCTCAGGAGGGTGTGGGAAAGGGACTGGTGTGTCCAGGTGGGATCCGTGTCCAGTTCCTGGCTGACTCCAGCTCTGAGCCTCTCCCCCAGTGTGGGTGGCAGCTGAGACCCCCCACACACCTTGAGTCGCCCCCAGCCACCTGCTCTGGGGTCATGGGGTCTTGAGCCAGGGTCTCTGCAGCCACAGAGGAAGAGGAGGAAGGGCAGGTAAGTGTAAGGACTTAGAGATCACAGTTGCTTGCCTCAAACACTGTTGCCACAGAAGGACTTTGCCATGAGGTGGGCACAGAATGCAGCGGCAGGATGGCGCTGGCTCGGGGCCTGGCGAGGTCTGGCTGGAACATCCTTGGTAATGTATCCAGACAAGGATTCCCACTGGCAACCTGTGGGGTGGGGCAACTGCTCGTGTGCGTATCACCTGTCAAACACAGACCACTCAGGTTATGGCACAGATGGCATCTGCGACCCCCAAAGCCCCCCCACCGCCCTGAATATGCCTTGAACCTGGGCTGTAAGTTATGCCACCGTGAGGGGAACCTGAGATAAGATACAAGTGATACGCGTGTCTCAGGCTAGGGGGTGGTAAACGAAGCTGAGAGAGACAAGAATGTATCACTGATGATGGATACAGAGTCCACAAGGAAAAACAACTCAGTAACTGTGCTGAAATCAGCAACGGCTGCGTAAAAGGTAATTCTGTCAGGGGGATATCACGACCATTGACCACAACCCACCGACTCCAGAAACCCACTGACCTCAGGACCCCGCCATCAAGAAGCTCGGGATGAAGAAGGACCAGCGGGACACTGATGGATCCAGGTGGTGCCTATATTTCTGCTTGATCTCTTTCTCGCTCTTTGCATGTTTCTCCCCCTCTACCCTTTTTTTATTATTATTATTTCTATCTCTCTACCTCACATTTTATTGTCAAATAAAATCTGTACTGTTGACTTCAGCATATGGTCTTGTTTGCACCTTAATTCAGAGGCATCTCTCAATAATCAGCTCTTAACAATAACACCACAAACCCCCTGGGGTGGGTAGGGAGGGGGTGTCAGCTGGGGATGGGGACATGGGGATGGGATGGGGACATGAGGACATTAGGAACTTAGATGGGGACATTGGGGATGCTATTCAGACCTTAGGAACAGGAATAGGGAGGTTAGGGACTTGGATGGGGACGTGGGGGTGGGATGAGGACATGGGGATGGAATGGGGACACAAGGACATTAGGGACAAGGATGGAGACATGAGGACGGGGATTAGGACGTTAGGGATGGGGACAGGAATGGGAACATCAGGGACAGAGATCGGGACATAGATGTGGATGGGGATATGAGGACGGGATGGGGAGGGGACACCAGGACTGCGATGAGAACAGCGCTCCCCTCCGAGGGGCTGGAGGAGGAGGCGCGGGGAGGCCTGGGGACCCCAGACCCTGCAGGATGGAGGCTCCCCCCGCGGTGGGGGGACCCTCACTCCCGGCCGCGCAGGGTTTAACCGCATCCCCCCGCCCATCCTCCTCCGTGCGCGGGCGGGCGCAGGGACCGCCGTGCGCCCCGTGTCCCCTCGCCATCCCCGCAGTCCCCCCCGGTGTGTCCCCGCCGTGTCCCCCCCGTGTCCCCTCGCCCGCCCGCTCGCGCTGCCGGTGCCGCGCGCTCCCGGCGTGCCCCGCGCGCCGCCGAGGTCTATAAATAGCGGTACCGCGGGCACGGCGCGGGCGGCGGCGCGTCCAGGTCAGTGCCAGACCCCCGGGGGTCCCGGGCGGTCACCGCGACACCGGCCGGGCACGGGGGGGAGCGGAGCTGAGCGGAGCTGAGCGGGGCGGGGGGGCTTTGCTGGGGGCGTGCAAAGGGGTGCTGGAGGGGCTGCAGCGGTGCTGGAGCAGCCCGGTCCTGGGTCTGGGGTCCCCGGGGGGGGCTGGATGCCGATGGGATGGGGGGAGCTGGGTTGGAGCTGGCGGTGGGGGGAGATCGATGGGAGCACCCCGGGGAGCAGCCCGCAAATGGCCTTGGCTGGGGAGTCCCAGGCCACGCTGTAACCCCCCCGGTCGGGGCTGGCGAGGGAGCTGGGCGGGGGGGTCAGCACCCCCCGATCTCCTCCGGAGCAGTCACCTCCACATCACCTTCACCCTGCGCCCGTGGGACCAGCACCGCGTCGGATCAGGCCCTGAGACCGTACCAAGGGCCAGTGCTGCCCGCAGCCCCCCATCACGATCACCACAGCCCCCCACCGCCCTGCCAAGGCTGGTGCCAGCGGTCCCGGGGCTCAGCGCCCCCTGCAATTAGGGACCCAGGGGTCCTGCGCCCCCCAAACTCCGCGGGGGCCGCCCCAGGGCTTCGTCCCCGCAGAGCAGGGGGAACGTGACCCGGTGCCGGTTTCAGCCTGGCCATTCTTAGCCTCTGCCCTTTCGAGGTTGTAACACGACCTGTCACCGGCCGCTGGCCCCTCTGGCCACAGGATGCCCCAACCCTGCACCCCGTCCAGCCGGTTTGGGGTGACGCACCGTGGCCAAGCATGTCGGGTGCTGCGGGGCTGGGTGTGGGCAGACGGGGTGGCCAGCCCCCCCTAGGTCCTGGGGGTGCAATAGGGTGCTGCAACCCGCTCCTTAGGTCATAGGGCATCCCCCTAAAAGCAGCCCGTGGGGAGCTGGAGGTGCTGCCTCCATCACTCGGTGTACTGGTGGCACCGGGCATCCCAAAGGGGTTTCCGGCTGCCGGGTAGCACCCCGGGCACAGGGATGTGGGCAGGGCAGGGGAGGAAGCCGGACACGTCACGGCGCGTCACCCGGCATGGGGAAGCCCTCACCGCAGCCGGATGCGGAGGGTGACTGCTGGAAGCCAGGTAAGTGATGGCTATGGAAGCAGAAATCCTGAGCTCCTTATTTCAGGGTCAAGCTGGAGGTTGTGTCTTCCGTCCCACCCCGCCCAGCTGGGACATGGAGCTGGGCACCATCATGACCAAAAAGGGAGACCCTTTTTCTCCGCAAACACTTGGTGACCTGTGTGTCCCTGATGTGCTTTGTTTATCCTGCTCTTCCTTTGCAGCCTTAAGTGCTTCTGTGCCTGGACCACAGCAGAATGTCGACAGGTGAGTGATCCATTCCCCAGCATCCATCCCCTCAGTCCCTCCTGCATCCAACCCCCCTGCCATCCATCCCCCTGCATCCAACCCCCCAATATCCCCTGCATCCATCCCCCCCTGTATCCATCTCCTCGTTATCCCCTGTATCCTTCTCCTCGTTATCCTCTGCATCCATCCCCTCAGTATCTCCTGCATCTATCCCCCCTGCATCCATCCCCTCTGCATTCCCCTGTGTCCCATGTATCCATTCCCTTAGTCCCTCCTGCATCCATCCCCTTGGTTTCCCCTACATCCATCCCCTCTGCATTCCCCTTTCCCCCATGCCTCGTCTCCGCTGTCCCCCTGCATCTACCCCCCTTACAGGCAGCCCCTGGTCCCCTTTGCATCCATCACCTCCATCCCTGCCCTGTGTCCTTGCCTCCCTCCCTTCTGTCCATCCCCCATGTCCCTCCAGCCCCTCCACGTGCCCTTCATCTCATTGGTCCCCACCAGCCACTTGGCTCTGTCCCCAGCCCCGGGGAACGCCGGGCGCCAGAGGAGTTGAAATTTCATCCAGCTGTAATCAGGAGATGGGAAAGTGGCCCAAGAGCAGCTCGACTTTATTTTTAGTTTTGCCTCCCCCTTGCTGTGGTGTCACACCCTGGCACCGCCCCACACCACGACTGGGACAGATCCCACAGGTGGGAGGAACCCTGTGCTGGGGCTCTGGGCAGGGAACAGGGCAGTGAGTGCCACCTGCACGTCGGCCACCAGGTCCAGGGACCGATGCTGGGGTCCAGAGACTACCTGGGTCATACCAGGTGCTCGAGGTGGCCAAGCCAGGCTGAGACAGCCCCTGTTAGCCCGCCAGGGTGAGAAACTACCCACAAGGATGGAGCCATGGACAGTGACGCCTCCAGAACACCTCGTGGCAGTGGGATTCCAGCCCCATGGCCGAGGTGCTGTGGGGTCTCTGTGCTCAGACATGTCCAGACATCCCAACCTGCCCAGGTGATGAGGACACACGGCTGCTTCCCTGTCCACCTTCCCCCCCCAGGGCCCTGGGATCAGTCCCCTCCATCCCCAGGGATGCCTGCTCTGGATGTGGCACCCCCTGGGGACACTTGGCTTACTGAAGGACTTTCTGGCTTTTGTTAATTATTTTTTTCCCTTCTCTCCTCCAGAAAAGCTCAAGCAGCACAAAATCATCTTCGTGGTGGGTAAGTCTGTGTCCGGGTCTTGTCACTGGTGGGGTCAGCCCAGACCTTTTCCCTGCACCTCTGGGGTGGGAAGCTGGGGCTGGAGGCTGAGGCTGGGTCTGTTCCCAGGCACTGTGGGGTGGCCAGCTTGGCTCCTTGAGGCCACAGTGGGGTGTGTTGGGACCAGGAGGGCACCTCTGTCCAGACATGGGATGGCAACCTCTGAAACAGTGAACACCTGGAGGGTGATGTGATAACAAACCCCTCGGGGTTGATGCCCTGGGTGCCATCAGGCATGATGTCCTGGATGTTGACAGGGTCATGATAACACCTTGGGTGTTCTTGGGACAGGGACATCCAGGTGCTGATGTGGGTGGTGATGCCCTGGTGCCAATGGGACAGCAATGTTCTGGGTGGTGAGGGGGTGGTGATGCCCTGGGTGCCATCAGGGTGTGGTGCCCACATGCCGATTGCCAGCAGCCCATGCTACCCCCAAGCACTTTGCAACCCCGAGTCCACCCCAGGAGCAGCTCTGTCCATCCATCTCTTGCTGGGCTTGGGGACAAAGCCCCATGTCACCAAGCTCTGAGGACTCCTGTGAGTCCGTGCTGCTGCTCCCACACACCCCACCCTCTCCTCGCCCATGGCTTGGGGGACGTGTGTGCCTTGCAGGTGGCCCCGGCTCGGGGAAGGGGACGCAGTGTGAGAAGATTGTGCAGAAGTATGGCTACACCCACCTCTCCACGGGGGACCTGCTGCGGGCCGAGGTCAGCTCGGGCTCAGAGCGGGGCAAGAAGCTGCAGGCCATCATGGAGAAGGGAGAGCTGGTGCCCCTGGTGAGTCCACACGGGCACGGTGGGGCTGCTGGGGGTGTTGCATGCACATGGCTCGGGCATCTCTGTCCCTGCCACCCCAGGGTGGGGTTTGCAGCAGGGGTCAGCGGTGCTGGGTGGGGGGCACGTTGTCCATGTCAGCCACAGCAGCTCTGTCCTCCCCTCCCCAGGACACGGTGCTGGACATGCTGCGGGACGCCATGGTGGCCAAAGCGGACGTGTCCAAGGGCTTCCTTATCGATGGATACCCCCGCGAGGTGAAGCAGGGAGAGGAGTTTGAGAAGAAGGTGAGGGCTGGTGCTGTGCCATGCCATGCTGTGCCACGCCACACACCGTCCTGGCACAGGGACTCCATCCAGCAGCAGCCTGGACTCCCCATTCCAATGAAGATCACATCCCAGCCGGGTCTAAACTTGGCACCATCCCAACCAGCAGGGCTCCCTGCCTTGGGAACGGCCTGTGCCCATGGTGCAGTGGGAGGGACCAGAGTGTCCACGGGCTGACAGAGGGTGACAACAGTGCTGACATGATGGTGATGGCAGAGAGCCAGGGCTTGGCCACAGTCTCCCTTTGCTTCCATCTGCACGGCTCTGGAGGGCGCTGAAACAGTGGAGGAAGGTGGAGGATGGCGTGGGGGCATCTGTGACCCTCATGCTGACTACCACCGTCTCCCCAAACCAAACCACACCACACCACCAACTTGGCTGCGTGACAACCATGTCCCCTCTGCCCACAGATTGCCCCCCCCACGCTGCTGCTCTACGTGGATGCGGGGAAGGACACGATGGTGAAACGGCTGCTGAAGCGAGGGGAGACCAGCGGGAGGGTGGACGACAATGAGGAGACCATCAAGAAGCGTT